ATTTGGTATTTGAGCCCGACGAAACCTCTTTAGCATGGTCTTATTTCCACATAAAATCAGAAAATACAATTTATTTAAATATTTAACATAACGTACTAAAGTATGTAGGCGGGTATGATAAAATCAATGTTACAAGCATTGTTGTGTTCCGGCAGTTAGAGGTAAAGTTTCTCCGTGGTTGAGTATTCCGGGTGAAGCTCGCTTCCACCTTCGGCCTGATCATCACCATCAGGTGAGATACAGGCCAAGAGCTTCCTCGTTGTGGATAAAAAAAATACAGTATTTTTGTAGTAAATATAGAGACGACTGAAACTATCCAATTTAGGATTAAGAAAGTACTTTTCGAAGTTCTGGGCAGCCCTGGGCCAACGAGAGAGGATGCGCTCGTGGCTCCCTGCCGCGGTCATAACCAGCGCCGGGTACTGTTACCGAATCGGGCCTGGCGCTGCCGGGGTCAGCCCGTTGCAACTTTCAAATACATTTCGGCATTATTTTTTATTGTGATTGGATTTTTAAAGCACTGTTCGCCAAACGATCCAATTTGCCGAAAACATAAAGATGAACAGACGATAACCCCAAAGGTAAATAAAAAGGAGAGAGCTCTTCCAAAAGATAATGCAGGTAATGGAGCTATAAATATTTAGTTGTTAAATAAAAGCATTTCAAAGGATTAACGTCACATGCGAATCACACGAAGCATCTTGACACCGCCACTTACGTCACGCCTACGCTGCGCATGAGTGCTCTAGATCCCGATTAATGTGTACTAGTAAAGTACCTTTTGTTACGTTTACAGGTTAAATAACCTGAGGAGATAAAAATGGTTGGATTTGCATAGATATAGCTTCAATCGAGCTATAGCGATATGGAATATTTTGTTTGTTAAATTGCTTGAACTTTTAAAAAGGCAATAATGTATGTATTATATTCTCTGGCTGGTAATACATGTACATACATATTATTACACTAAAAGAAATAAATTAAATATGAAGCCCAACATACCTAGGTACTTTTTATAGAAGACTACAAAAACGGACTGTAGATCCTAATTACATGCGTAGATAATAAAAATGAATGACAGAAAATATCGATATCAATCTCTATGTGCGTTAATAACACACAACAGCAACGAGCACATCTGGCTAAGTGCGGCCGACGCCCATCAATCGCGCGCCCGCCGATAACCGATCGATACTTCATTTCAATCAATATAGACTAAGAGCTAGTGAACGCCAGACCTACGTCATTTTATAAAAGCTGAAAGTTTGTCAGCGTATGCTCCCAATGTAGGATATAATGTTGGTGAATTATGAAGTTTGGGTCGTGGTGGCTTTGGGAGCTACCCTAAAAAAACTGTATTTCAAGGAGTTGGAACTGTCAAAACTGTCTGGCTGTTGGGGATAATACTTCTAATTATTGTCCAAATATTATACATAAAAATCAGATTTAATGGTATAACGTAAGTAGAATTACAGTCTATTGAATATACAGAAAAAGCCACCGTAAAAGTTAGACTTATAAAAATAATTTTGATTTTGATTTACAATATCATTCTAGAGTTACACATTATTTTCAATTTAAGGTAACAAAAATATCAGTTAAATACATTGGTAAATAAATCAGTTCACTGTTTTATGTATCAAATAAAATACTACATATTCAAAGTCGTTGCCAAGTTATTTTTAAACCTAATCCCAATCATAAACGCAAAAATTTATTTTCGAAATTTCCAAATCCTAATGTCTCAATACAAAAGACTTCAACGAGCGCCAGTAAGGCTTAGGAAAATTAATTAATTTAATTTGTGAAAATGTGAATGTTTTTATTAAGCCATAATTATTTATTTACAAATGATATTAACATAATAAGAGCTTAGAGTTATTTAAATTAATTCTTAGGTCTTAGTGGCGCACCTACTAGGTTAGCAGGTTTGCTTATTATGGCAACAAAAAGTTAAATGCTAAAAACAACTTGACTGTCTTTTTATATTTAATGCGCATTCATTAGGTATTTATGGTGAGAAGTAATTGAGTGAGGTGTCATAATCGTGTGAGGACTTTTTCCATTAGTACCTATAGTAAAATCTTCCTAAAGAAAACGATTACAGCCGAGCATTACCTCCTATTACAAGCTAATATGGCACATTGCTGATTGGTTCCGTAAATGGTTCCCATAAAGCCACACATAGGCCTTATATGGGTACGCGATTGTCAAAAAACAATCTCAAGTGATTGGGTCGTAAAGGGCGACAGGAACAATTCGCGCCGCGTCGCGCGCCGTCGGGTTCTCACGTCCGAGCTCAGGCAAAGTGTGTGTCGACTGCATATATTATATGGTTCTACTGTTAATAAGACATATAGGAATAAAAAAGGTAACAGATGAACATTACAGTTGTCACATAATCGTTATTATAAACACTACATTGTTATGTAGTTTTTATACAGTATTCAACCGACTTCAAAAAAAGGAGGAGGTTCTCAATTCGACCCGTATGTTNGTTTTTTTTTTTTTTTTTTTTGTTACGCGATAACTCCGCCAATTATGAACCGATTTGAACAAATCTTTTTTCGGCGTATAGGTAATACCTCAAGGGTGGTCCCATTTAAATTTAATAATAGAAAAAACAACCCCCAAGGGTGGAAAATTGGGGATGAACTTTTTTATACGCAATATCTCCGCTGATTATAAATCAATTTGAACGATTATTTTTTTGTTGAATTTGAAGAAAATGTTTCACCCCTAAGGAAGGAAAATTGGGGATGAACTTTTTTATACGCAATATTTTTAATTTTTAGTTTTTTTTTGTGTTCACGCATTTGAAGTCGGTTTTATTTTTTAAAAAAGTTAATTATTTACAATTGAAATCCATTTAGCAGAATGTCTTCCGTTCCGGACTTCATGACTTGAGTTCCGGATTGAGTTCCGCCAGAAGGATTAATTAAAATGCATGCCTATAATACCTATTCCCTATAAATTAAATAAGAGTATAAATAAGTACTTAAGGGTTTTCTTTGGCCATATGATCCCGAGGAGTGCTAATGGTGGGGAGTGTTTTTGTGCGCGCTCGTAAACGCCGCGTTTGTTTCATTGACGACGCCTGCATCAATGCGGCGCACATTCGGTGTGAATTGGGAAGAAATGATAATGCTTTAGTTGTAAGCATGACGTGTTTGAGAATACATTGTTAGTTGAACTATAATAATTATTATAACTTATTGAGAAATATTGATTTTAATTTTTTGATTTAATGATAAGAAATATTTTAAAAACAATTTCAGTGTAACTTTTTAGTGACACTGCAAATTCTCAACCTTTAAAGTATTGTAACAAAGCAATAAAAATATAAAAAAGTTTCTAAAGAATCTATTTGCCAGCTCTAACACGAGCCAAGTGATAATTATTCGACCAAAATAAGACATTATCAAGCCTTTCTCGCGAAAGTTGATGGCAGCCTTTGTTCCATTTTGTTTATTTGTCCTATAAGCCGAAGAGTCGCTAAATATTGTTTTCACATGATCGAAAGTGCATAATTTCCTCTTGTGCAACATCGGACGACTCAATCGCGGGGACGGCGGACGCTATCATGTGTTTTTCTGCCGACGGCAAGCTGCGCCCGCGACGAAGGCTGCGTTATTGCTATACCCAGTAGTGTTTGTGCACGTATCAGCAAGGACTCCAAATTCAGGCAATTTCTTAGGGATTTGGAAGAAAATAGAGGTAAATTAGGACAGTAAAAGAAAATACAAATAGACTTTAAAAAATGCTAGTCCAAAAATAATTGTTATTTTATGTTTTTTAAATTCAATTGTTCAGTTTAAGTTAAAGGAGCTACAATCGTAGATTTAATAAGTAACAAATCACTAGGTACGCAAAAATTTTGCGCGTCTCTCGACATTGGCATTACGCGACCGATCGTTGGCGCCTTTTTGCCGAATTCGGACCTTAATAAATCCCCCATCAGGGGAGACGCAGACCACAGCTCATTAAAATACCTAACCCGAAATTATAAAAAGGACGAAGTTAGGTGACCGTGAGAACGGCCACTAATTAGGGACGACCGAGAACTGATCGCGCTCTGAAAGTATTTGCTCGCGAAATGCGCTGTTTTAATTTTAATTAAATAGTTTCTCCGTGGCCGGTGGTCCGCTGGTGGCCCGGTGATGGACACTGCGATGTCAAACAAAAGCTGACGCACGAAGCCTAATCAAAATATGTAGAGCTGTAGTTAGCATCCCACTTATCCCCAGCGATTTGCCCCATCAATAGGGAATTGTAAACTTTTTTCTACAAATCCCCACTCAGTGCTGTGAACGGGGAAATTCAACGGGTATTAGTGGAATGCCCTTAAGTAGCAAACATGGACGCAATACTCACGTAAAGAAGTCTATACAGTTGACAATTATTGTAAAGTTAGTTTCCTTACACATCATAAGGGTCGAAAAATTGTAGATTAGGTGACAATCGACATACTTTTATTCGTGAGATAAGTATTCATTCGCATACATATTGCAAGTTTGCAAGCCTGTAGCTTACTTTTATTTTTAACTACCCGAGAACAAAAACCGGTCTGTCCTATAAACGATGCCTGCCTTCATTAACCCGAGTAACGGTGAAGGATCGGAATTCGCCCCAAGCGTTTGTAAATCTCGGCGCATCTAACTGGAGAAGATGCTTCTGCTGCGATCGCTGAACAAAAATAAATTAATATTTAAATACATGCTTCTGCTTGCGGCTTCTCCCGCAAGAATTTAGATCTGTCACAGAAAGTTTTATTGCACGCGGCTGATGAAAAACATGTTATTATTTATGTTTTTCTTCAAGGTCTAATCCAACTTTATTTAGATAGTCTACTGCGCCAATTTTGATGAAATACCTAGGTAGGTACTTAAGCGTGAGAAGGTAACAAACAGACTGTGGAATTTTGCATGCATACATATTTTGAAACCTTATAAAATGTATAACATGGAATGCATTAAAATCATTCTCGTCCGATACTTTGTTGAAGCAAGACGCGTGCTAAGCCCCAACCAGAAGGATAGTAATTGATTTTCATCCTTATTAACAGTAGTGTACGATCTTAATTGCTTTGTGGCTATATTTCTCTTACGACCACTGTTAAGTTGTGCATTTGAAGTTGTGTACAGTATACGCAAAAAACTAAGATAAAATGCAGAGAACTCCGGAACCGGAACACCAGGTAAAATACTCATCATACCCAAACCTTACTATTGAACCGGAAGCTGGCAATAGCTTCGTCAGAAACATTAATTTGAGGAAAAGGAAAACCAACCCAGAGGAGACCCAATTCGAAGAAATGAAATCTGCACTTATGGAATCCTTCAAGGAAATGATGAACTCTGAGATGGCTGAGATAAAAAACCAGAATCTTAAGATTCTTGAAACTAACAATGAGATGATAAAACTGCTGCAGATAAATGCCACTAGTTATAAAGAAATAACTGGAAGAGTAGAAGCCCTTGAAACGAAACATGAGACAGCTATGAAACGTATTAGTGACCTGGAAGCACAACTGAATAGTATTCAAAAGAAGATGAACAGCAATATGGTTGAAATAAGAAATGTTCCCAGGGCGGATGGAGAAGATTTGAAGGAAATTGTGACTAACATCTGTACTTCAATAAAAACCCAGCCGATAAATAATGCCAATATATACAGAAGAGGTAAAAACAATGCACCCATAATTATAGAATATAAAGAATCTAAAGAAAGGGACATACTACTAAAAGCCTTCAAGAAATATAATGGCGATAATAAGGACAATCCCCTAAATACTGAGAGTGTGGGTTATGGCGGGACGAAGTCTAGGATTTACATATCGGAATGCTTGACGCCTATGTCTAAAAAAATCTTGTCTGTCTGTCTGTCTGTCTGTCTGTATGTTCCTTATAGAAACAAAAACTACTCGACGGATTTTAACGAAACTTGGTACAATTATTCTTCATACTCCTGGGCAGGTTATAGGATACTTAGGAATTCCCACGGGAACGGGCATTAGCGGGAAAATCCTTTTGTATGAAAAATCTAAACCGCTTAAGTTAGACGCTTGAAATTTGGCAAGCAGGTACCTTAGTAAACTTAAAGCTTAGTTATAACAGGATATTGCAAAATTCCTACGGGAACGGGAATTAGCGAGAAAAAACATTTGTATGAAAAAATCTAAGCCACGTAAGATAGACGCTTGAAATTTGGCATGCAGGTACCTTAGTAAATTTAAAGCTTAGTTACAACAGGATATTGCAAAATTCTCACGGGAACGGGAGTTAGCGTGAAAAAACATTTGTATGAAAAATCTAAACCGCGTAAGATAGGTGAAGGGGGTAAAACGGGATCCACGCGTACGAAGTCGCGGGCGGCCGCTAGTTAAATAATAATTACCATTTTGATAACGAAAAAAATAAGGTGTTGGTGCCGATACTGACACCTACAAACTTGAAATTTGGCAGGTAGGTTCCTTATAGAGTGTAGACATCTACCAAGACCGGATTTTATTTAACTATTTATTTAAGGATATGAAATAATACGAAGGATATAATAAGATTTTACGAAATTCCACACATAAGGGGGTAAAACGGACTCCACGCATACGAAGTCGCGGGCGGCCGCTAGTTGAATCACTGAGCATTTGAGCAAGTGTTGAATATTATTATGATTAATTTAAAATTATGCAGTTTTAGCGTCCTACCTACAAATATTATAAATGTCAAAGTTTGTGAGTAGGTATGGATGTTTGATACTCTTTCACGTATTTAAAAACTACTAAACGGATTTTTAGTAAACTTTACAGAACATAATATTTTTTATACATGAGAATAGCATACCTTTAGCTTTAACTTAGCTTTTGCCCACGGCTTTGTCTGCGTAAAATTTTGTCTGTCACAGAAGAAAATATAAGAGCGCCTTCCTGTTTCAAAAACTGACATAAAAACTATCCCACGTCCTTTTCTGGGACTTAAAACTATCTCTTTACCAAATATCAAAATCGGTTCAATGGTTTAGGCGTGAATTCGTAACAGACAGACAGATAAAGTTTTTCGCATTTACTTAATATTATTTAGGTAGTAGGGATAATTCATAAAGATTTGTTAAAAGAAATAGTATTGGTACCAACAACTTATATTTTTTTCGTTTGGCAATAAGTATGGCATTCAGTCAGGTACTCCATTTTCAGTTCCTGTTCATCTTAAAAGTTATAAAAAATTAAATACTCAATGTTTGCCAGGGGGGACAACAGTCCTCAAATCATTGAATAAATATCAAGTCCGAAAAACGAAATCCTGTTGGCTCCCCCAGGGGGGCCAAGCAGGGGGGACAACAGGACTGCACCGTATTTGACCAATATCGATTGGTGTAATGTATAAAAATACGAAACAACAAAATTATTCAGTTACTCTTTGTAGCATTGAACAATGTGTATGACCACAGGGTCATCGGTCGTTATAAAAGCAGGCGGAGGCTCGACTGGGGCGAGTGCGTCCGCGGCGCCGCCGGGTCATCATGCTCCAAGACGGTTGATGGTTCATAAGGTGTAAGGCCAAGAAGGCAAGCTCTTAATGTGGGTAGTTTCGTACAAACGCAACATTTTTCTGTATGAGCCCATTATGTTCTGTTTTTACGGCTTTTAAAAATGGCCGAAAAGAAGATACTTAACTCGTAAAAGTGAATAATATTACAACACCTGGCTATCTCGGTAGTTAATATCTCGTTTTTACTCGCTAGAGCAAAAAACGGCTACTGGTTAAAAAATAACCGAACATAAAGTGGCTGCTGGTTAAAATCTCGTATTAACGCTACTGGTTAAAAAATGACCCGCAAAAATGACCGAATATAAAGTGGTTGCTGGTTAATATCTCGTATTAACTCGCTAGAGCAGAAAATGGCTACTGGGTAACATCTCTAAATTTCAAAAAATTTAGATATCCTACTGTTGAACTGTACAAAGAATTTGATGTTCTAAATATTAGACAGTTATTTATAAAAACAATATTACTTCGACAACATTCTTATCCTCAACGTGATAATATGCCAGCCAGAAGAAAGCATGAGGTGTATGAAATTCCAAGATGTAAAACCGTATTTGCAAAAAGTTTTCCTTTCTTCCTTGCCCCTTTCTTATATAATCGCATTAATAAAACTATTTCTACTAAGGACATGACTAAATATCTGTGTGGAAGGACGCTGGAAGGGTTTTTAAAAGGTTTGGACTACACAAGGACTGAGGATTTATTTGTTATTCTTAAATAAAAATAATATATACATATAATAATATACATAATATACAATATAGTCATATGTTTATATATAAAAATATATATTTATATACTAATTTACTACATACATAATATGCAATATATAATTAAATAAGGAAAAAAACTATATAATTATATTATATATAAACATAATAAAATATAAGTATATCATCAGTAAAACTACCTATCCAAAATTTCTACAATTATTATAAAATACTATTTATTACTAAATTCATTAAAAAATGGTCAAGCATCTTATGTTTTTAAGTGGCTAAAGGTTTTGTTAGAATATCAAGAATATTACTACTTGTCGCTTAAACAAACGTCTAAATAATAATAAATTACTAACAACAAAACAAACTTAACTCCACATTGTAATAACTTCAAAACTTGTCTGAATATTTTGCATATACTACGTGTTTACGCTTTACTCGTCACTTAGTATCGTCATGTTTAGTGTGTCGTCGTATTAATCGCATCATTGCAAAGCAGTCTTTATGTTAATTAGTTAAAGCTGGTATTCGGGAGGCGAGAATCCTACCTTGCCGTAACACAGTTACGACTAGCACGGAAGGTGGGGAACTTTTTTTTTTTTTCGGTATACCGCCAATAGATGTTTATTTTATTAGTTGCATTTGTTGTATATTTTTACAAGCTAGGGGTTAACCATAATAATTAATTAGAGTGTTGTGGTATGATATTGTTGTTTTGTATGGGAAATTTAAAGGAAACAAATTTTTTTGCAAACATTTTTGCGATCTTTTAGTGAACTTTGCTTCGATTTTTGGAGATACCGATTTTATAATTTTTTGGGCAGACTGAGACAACATTAATCACCTATTATAAGAAAAATTTAGAAAACTGCTACCTGTAAATTAAAACAAATGAAAATTTTCAAGCAGTGACCGTTCGCTTTTATAGATATAGATTAAGTAGTTCTTAAAATTAAAATAAAATAGAAATAATAATGGTATTGTAATAAACTAATACCTACCTAGGGAAAATCGGCGGCTTCACACCGTACCCCATATTGCAACATGTTTGTACCTACTCCTCAATAATTACTAGATAATGTTTGTACTCATTTACAATATAATGTTTAGCTACAACTGATAATGTTCCTAGTGATATAAGGCAGTGTAACTGTATACTTTTTACTGAAATAAAATATTCTTATTCTTATTCTTATTCTTAAATATTCTTAAAATTATGACTTTTGATTATACTAGTATTATGGGGAAATTGTTTGGATTGTATTATGGGATACTTGTAACTTTAACAACTCAGTGAAATTAATAACTTCGTGAAGCTTAAAGTTTATGTAACAAGATTCAAAGCATAATTAAACGCAACAGGATGTTGAGGTAACATCTGACCTACGAGCATCCACGCCATAAAGTTGCGCCGTTGAAAGCTGGTTAACTTAATGAAGATCATATCGATCCAGCATTAAGCGTAATCGTAGCGAGTGATCTAAACATTTGGTCGGGAATATCACACAAGAGACAAAGCTCGATACATTTGAAAGTCAACAGTTTAATGTTAATGCCCTGTATATTTTACATCTTCCTTTCCACACAACTTTGTTCGTCCAATGAATAGATGAGTAGCCGGGAGATTGCGGGATAAGAAATAGAAGGAACAATATACAGAGGACTAGACCATACAATTTATGCGATCATATCACTAGAAAGCGATCTCTTTCAGTTCCATACAACTTGCAAACTCAGGTTAGTTGAAATGAAAGGCCAAAGTGTAGAAGCCTAGTTGTACTATTTACGCATAATTTATATGTAGTTAAGTTAGAAGCGTTTATTACAACCCTATCTACTTTAGCAAAGTACATAATTAAACATGATAATAGTTATTAAGTTTTCGACCATTTCAATTATATCATGTGCACGGTTCCGTAGCAAATCACAGTTATAATTGCATTCGTTTACAGCCCACTTGTCGTTTCCTCTGGCCCGTATTTACTGCAAATTATCCGCGAGTAACGCGTTCGCCATCAAACCAGCCTTTGCATAAATCAGCGAGATAGAGCTTTTCTCCCTAATTGCTAATTATAAAGCTTGTTAAGTACTTTTCAGAGCTCCGCCATTTTAATTACAATTCTATTAACTATGTGGTTAAAGTAAGAAAGCTCTTCCACTGTCTAGTTTTAGAAGTTTTAATTACTGGGCAAAATGGGTTTTGGTTTCATAAATATTATTACGGACGGGCACTGTTGCAAGCGCCATGGTCAATTGTTCACGGAGTAACTGAGGAAACTTGCGGATGGGAAACCTAAAATTAAGGTACATGGTAGCAATCCCGTCCGTAATAATAATTATGATAGTGACCATGAAGGTTAAAAACAATATATTGGTATCATAAAGTCTAAATGATAATACGTACCTATATCATATACTGTTTGTATTAGAAAGAAAGAAGAAAGAAAGAAAGAAAAGTATTTATAAAGTAGAAATCACGTAACTAGAAGGAAAGCGGAAGCAAGCTGCAGCTAGAGTGGTAAATGTCCATCCATTAATTTGTATAAATTACTTACATTAAATACTAATATTATAAATCGCTATATTTTATAACAATTTGGTTAAAGAAGGGAAAAGTCAAGCTGTTGACATATTTTTCTGGATTCCTGACTCATAATGAGTATAATACATGCATTTAGCCCAGACCATTATGATGACGACCGCGGGGGAGTGTCGCGCGGCAGGTGCAGCGTGCAGTGCAGCGCCGTGTCGCGTCATGCCCGCGGCGACATAGTCGACAGGCTGTCTGGAGGCTGGGCCACATTGTTATGGCGCTTGTTCAGTAATATGACTGGTTATTAACGTTAAAACAAAAAATATGCCAGCAACATCATTATTAGCGAATAATGTGTACACAAATGTATCAGGGTCTAGTAACGTCCTTTTGTAAACTTATTTCAATTTCTTAACGAAACTATCTTCAAATCTTTTAACTCAATAAGCTATTCGGCTGGGTTTCAGTATATAATGAACGCTAAGTTAAATTCGGACTTCTGTTTTTTCCAATAATGTAGAGCTACGAGTATATGCCGCCATAGTAACATCCGTTGCTAGTATTTTTTATTTTCTTCTTTGTGTACGTACTCGTTATATTAATCGTGATTAAGGCTGCGCCATAAACAGCTGGTATGATTGCGATCAAATACCTACCCAATTAAATATGATTAAGTAACATAATGAGAAACTGAGCAGTCCTTTATTAATTGCTTATCTGATAAAGTCGTTGGACAGTTGGGCCGGTAAATAACCAAACCTTTTAAATGCGTTTAATTTTAATATCGTAAGAGCCACGCTAAGAGCCGGGCAATCGGGCGGCGGTCACGATCCGTTGATTAAACTTACGCGCATGACGCTGCGCCGGCGCATCGTTTAATTGCACTCCGCACAGAATAAGTACGAGCCGACAGACAAAGCACTCATTTAGGTTAGTGATCAGGATAGTTCCTACCTAACTGATCTAAATAAGGAAAGAAAATTCCGTAAAGAAGCTTATTTTTCCTAAAATATTTAAAACGAGAAAAGAGGTGATGGTAAAATTAAAACACAATTATAAAGTATGTTAGGAAGCTTTCGTGATAACTGTCTACAATTGATTAATGTAAAATGCACCAATTTGGACTAAATAAAAAAAAATCTTTCTATTTCTTTCTTTCAATTTAATAATATTGTAATGCATTTTCCGCCAATGATAAAAAGTATTGTAACTTATACGAGTAATGACTGATATCTGCCTTGTTTAAGGAATATTATTATGCTATTTAGGTTTACAGGTTAGTGACAATTATTAATTCTAGATTAAACTTACACAATAACTGCCCATCTGTCAGCCCGTCCATATATTCTACGGCAAGATGTCCACATCTCCATGTGCCCGCGCTTTTCGCGCGCCTCATTACCGAGCGCGCGATCATCCGCTCCATTTGCGCCATTCGCGCTTTTTTACCGCAATTTGTTTACGCACTACTCGCTACTTGTTGATTACTCATTTGCATTTTGATATGGATAGTCTTTGCACGTGCGGGCGCTCGTGCGGAATCTTTTTTTGCTGCAGGTGAATTCCAATTAACATACTCCATTTAATTTCTGTCGCAGTCCACATTTGCTAATTAAAATTCTTCTTTTTTTTTCATGTTATGCTACGCGCCTATTTTTGTTCGCTTATTCTTGTTTCATACCTGGTATTATCTTACTTTTACTGGTTTTGGTCTGGTTCGTGCGGATTGTGTCACGGGATTTAATTACGG